AAAAAAAAAAAAAAATGTAAATAAAAAAAGGTTGTACAGGAACTCCTTGTTAGTGAAAAAAAAAAAAAAAAAAAATGTAAATAAAAAAAGGTTGTACAGGAACTCCTTGTTAGTGAAACAGAAAAAAGGGGAAAAACAAAAGAAAGAAAGAAAAAGAATAGGCGGAAAAGCCACCAACACGAGCAGTAAAGAGTCGCGTGTCCAGTCTGGACAAATCGAAGGCACGCCGTGTTTCCCTGCTTTGAGTCTTTCAGAAGTCGAAAGTGACTCCAATTCTCACGTATCTACAATCATCAGAGGAAGAATCATCACCCTTCATGGAGTTCCTTTGTCGATCTGAATTTACTTCACACGCGAGGTCTCGTTTGGTTTTCCTGGTTCTGTTTTCAACCTTTCCTTACAAGGTAAAAGAAAAGACGAGAAAAACAAAAATTTGGATAAATTTAGCTTGGTAATTTTGGTGTCAGCTTACAGGAAGAGGTAAGAGTTTTTTGACCTTGCAAAACGAGGAAAAGAAAAAGAGAGTCAGAAAGTTGTATCCTAATGATTCATTTTATCATTCATCGACGTGGTCTAGTCTACTAGTAGTACGGGGTATATAGTAGTAGTCTCTGCCATGCATATGTGCAGAACTTAGCAGGATCGGTACCGAAAGGAGGTATAGCATTGCAGCTTCTCCCCCTTGAAGATCTCTCACATGATAATAATAATTTGAGTATGTACATACGGACATACTACAATGCAGAAGAAGCTCGTGAAAATAATGATGATGTTAATACCTACTATCGGTAATTGCGCGGTATTTAGAGATCCCCACGTGTAGGTGGTTTTAATTACCGAGTACTAACTCGTCCACACGCCATGTTTCTCCTCTAGTCCGAACTATTACTACGTATGTACCAACACACGATTGTCCTTCGTAAGGCAACGACTAATTTTAACCTAATCAGGTAGCCAAAAACCCCTCGTAAGGATTGCCCGCCAACAGAATGATCTGAATACTTTCAATATGAGCCATTTTTACCTCATCCCCCGGGTCTTTCCGGAGTGCCCCCCCTAGTCATTCGTCCGTCTTTCCCCGGCCATCCAGCGCCATGTCAAATTTAGTAATTGCCTCGGCTCCCGAGCAACCCTAAGAGTGCCCATTCTCCTAGGCAAGTAGTAGTGCCTCGACTGTTCAATTCGGCGAGAATGCTTGACAGCTGAAACAGCTTAGCCCTCTCGAAATAATCTGCCAAATCATCCATAATTGATTTTCTCGCTCATTGCAGGCCTCGTCTCCAGTTGCTATTTGTGATTGGATTGTCACCGTTCAGACTACTTTGACCCAGGTGTGGCTGATTATACAACAATATAGGTAATGTAAAGATGGTACTAGTTTTAGGAGGGTTCAAGCCGGGGGTTTCATTTACCCTGCCTAGCAAACTGAACATCTCGTCATATGAACTGTACGAGGTCGGACGTGTCAAATGTTTTATCCCCTACAGAGTGACCGTCAAAGGTGTAATCGACGAGCACGAGGCTTCTATCTATACTTTTAAAACCCCTTTATCTAGTACTTCTATGTATGCAACTATGTACATAATTGAATATCTTGCCCCGTCTAAGCAATAGTCGTCCCACTTCCCGCTGTACTACATGCAAACCAATTAACCAAATTCTTACCATATTAGTAGGGGCCTATGGACTCGGGTTCCAGGGTGACCGAACTCATCTCGGGGGGCCAATATAAGAGACACAGATCCTTCATCCGGACCGAAAAGAAGTGGATATCTATCAAGCAGCAAATCGGCTTTTTTGCCGAATGCGACTACCGTACCGGAAAAAGATATACCTGCCGTCCCAATTACCGTTAGCTCTCAATTAGCCATAGCTTGATCAGATCAAGATCTACAGCTGCATCAAAATATTCATGGAGCCCAAAGTGCCGGCAGTAAAGTTGCCCAGAGGTCAAGAGAAACGTGGGGTATATAATGCCGGTATAGCTGCAGCATTGGTACGCAAGGAAGTGCCACCAAATCAAAGCTATATATCAAACAACACGATGTAGGCAAGCAAGGAATTTGATGGCGAAAGGCGAAATATGACTGACTTTTTTTTTTGTGGGGGGGGGGGGGGGGGGGTGCTTACGGAAATGGTGCCATAGCAAGCGTCAGGAAAGCGAGCAGCGAAGAAGCCCAGTGGTATCCCAGATTGTTGTACACTATACTCATTGATCAGTACCTGGTGGTCTGAAGTTGGTGCGCCAAACAATAGCAGCAATGCAGGTAGCTTGGTGACATTGATAACCGTAAGTCTAGCAGGACAAGGTGAATCACATAGTAGAGGGTGTGATTAGGCTACAGTGCCTCTGGTCCGTTTTCCCTGAGCCCTTCGGTGTTTACCAAATGGAAATAAGGGCTACGCAACGTGATATAAAGGAGGGGGGGGGGAAGTCACTTACTTTGGATTCCAAAAAGAGGGAAGACACCGCCAAACGTTGAGCGAGCGAAACTGTTCGCTGCTAGGGAACTTGCAGCAAAGACTGGATACGCATCGACCAAAAACGTAAAGATGCCCGAATATACAAGAATGGTCCTATCCAAGACAAAATTCATGAGTGCCAATGATCTACGTAGCCAAGTTTGCAGCAGGAATCAAGACTATGGGAATTGCCGGTCGTGGGTTAAACTCACCCGGCTCCAAAGAATGCACTGCCAATTATTGGTACAATCCAATGCACATTAGGATATATGGTCCAAGCAAATATGAATAACCCTATGGTAACAAGAGGGCCACCGAGAATCGCTACAACGTGCGATTAGCAGTTCTGGGTCGCCTAAATGATATTGGGCAAGAGCGTTACGCACCTGGAGGTAGTCGCCACTCTGGTTGAAAGTCTTCTGTTGTTCCCTCTGTCCTCCTGTGCTTCTCTTCCAAGCGTTGGTAGACGCGACGCCAGAAGGGATCAGATAAAATAGCGAAAACCATCCCCACAAAAAGGCCGAGGAAGCAAAGACCACGCTGCCACAGTTCAAGGCCATACACGTTGCCGAACACCAGCTGAAAGGCACCAAAGAAAAGGTATATTATACCCAGCAAAACTGCAGAGAATATACAGAGGCACAAGCACATGGGCTCCAGCGTCAGGAGAAGAAGAGGCCTGTAGATCGAGCGTAAGACTGTTCGTGCCACTGAGCGATTTAACCTTTCAATCGGTGCTTTCCATCGATCATCCCCTGTCTCTTTGCGGAGTTTCTCCGCCTTTCGCCGCAGAAGGCTAGTAGGACTAGAGTTAAGAACCGAGTGTTTAGGGAGTAAGTTTTGGCGATTTCACTTACACCGGGTGATACGTTTCCGGGACGAAGACGACGATAGAAATGAGCAGTACGCCTGTCCAAATCAGAAGCACGTAGAACGTCCAGCGCCTGAGAACACAAGTGTCAGCTACAGATATTTCAGAATAGAGGGCTAGGTAGATATACCATGTGGTGAACTGATTTATGAACCCACCAACTCTGAGGCTTGTCAATCATCGCAACGCTGACTCAAATAACAATACTTTCAGCAATCGGGGCTAGTAGCAAAACTCACAATGGTCCTACTTCAGGTCCAACAAAAGGGGAAGCTGTGTACAGCATCATAGGCGCACTCAGTTCATGGCGAGCGAATAAATCTCCTACCGTACCACCTGCAACGCTGAGAAATGCGCTCCCAGCGATACCATTAAAGAAGCGGCATACGATCATGGTCTCAATATTCTTAGACACAGCACATGGAATGAGCCAGATCAAGAATAAGGTGAATGAGGTAATATAGACATATCTTCGACCATAAAACTAGGGAGCATTAGCTAGGGCGATGAAGCTTGGAGTTGGGGGATACGAACCTCTGATAAGGGCCCCAGAAAAAGCGGGCCAATACCTGGAATGAGTAGAGGTCAGAAAATAGATATGGAAGCCAAGCAACCCCCTGATGGCTAAGAGACCTACCAAGGCCCCATATAAAGAATGACAGTCCGAGCGTTGCGATCAACCGAGAACAATTGAATTCATTCGTTATCTGGTCGTAGGTAGCGGTATACATTGACGAGGTGCAAGTCCTTTCGACAAGGCATCAGCGCTACAAAAGCAACGATCCAGCAGTTACCCATTACTCACACGCAAAGAGAACCCAGGGAACAAATGATAACAATCAACCACCGCCTCATGGTATTGAAGTTTCGAGGATTCATCGGGTCATATTCGTCCCAACTAACAATAAATGTGGACGATTCATCTGCGTCGCCCCCGTCATCGTCAAGAGCTTCTGCGGCTTCTTCATCCGCTGTATGGCAGCTGTATCCATCATTCAAAGACCAGCTGCGTTCGATGGGACGTGAGCTGGTGGAGTGCAGCTTCTGCATCCGCTCTTCGTCGGCTGGGGGAGCCTGAATTGGTGCAAATGTGCCGTCCATGTCTTCATCTGATCTCACCTTCTCAAGCTCATCTGCCTCGCTCCTTTCGTCGCTTGTAGAGCGCCTGGCTAAACCCACATGGGTACTCTCAGCTTGCCTAAGCCGCTGTGACGCAGTCATGATCGGGTAGTGAGGTAGAGCCTTCTCATGTAGTTTTTCGCTAATGCTATCGGAAATAATGAACATATGAAAGCTATGTAATAGTCTAGATTGTGTAACGAATGATCGCCCCAAATACCAAAGTACCTCAGAGCGATCGCCTGAAATAATTGAATGCTGGCAATAATCACTCCGATGAGGGCAAGGCCGAGTCACACTAAGCAGTATTTGCCTTAAGACCTTTGGGGAAATTGACCGAAAAATGGCGAGGGTTACAATAAATATCCAGTGTCTGATCATTGAAAAGGCAAGATAAGGCTTGCAAAGTCAAGCAATTATTAGTCACATGTGGGAGGATTGTACTAAGTACATAAATCGTTTAGTCTAGTTCTTGCTAATCAATCTTTGATTTTATCTTTTTAAATAGCCACTGGTACTAGTTAGTCTAGTCGGCTTTTCCCTCAGCCGATTGCCACAGCATGATCAGTGGAGAACATATCAAACCGGGGTAGAGCATATGTATGGACTGCTAATCAGCACCTCGATCTTTCTCAGTCTCCTTGATAGAAAAGGGGGAGGGATAAAAAAAAATTCATTCCCTTTATCATCGTCATCTGTTCCTATCTCAACATGTTCACCCTAGACGTTACAGATCATTTCATTGAAGTTTTGATAGAGAACTAAGTTCATCACGTCTAGAAAAATTCCCCGAGCCACACCTCCACGTGAACACGCCTATTACAAGTCTCGTTATAGATCATACAGATTTCAATTGTTCGCTTCTATACCTATACCTATGTGAAGAGTGAAAATACAAAAAACCCCTTAAGTATCGTCCCTAGAAGCTCGCCCACAATAAAAGTAAAAAGGGGGGAAAAAAGAATCCCAGAATTGGAAGGAGGACCCAAACAGTCATTCAATAGCCACCTTTTCAATCCAAATAGACAACTCCATGACACCAATGTTTCATTACATGAATAATTTCCCCCATCCAAATAATAAGCCCTCCAGGGAACCCCGGCCAAAAAGAAAATGGGAGTAGAAAAGAGCAGAAGAGGAGAATAGGCCACTCGAACATAATTTCCTGTACAGAAAAACACCTGGTACCTTCATAGGCCCAGATCTCTGAAGTTTATCTCTCTAAGCTACCACCTGGGAAGGTTGAGTGCCTACTTCTCCATTGGCGCTCTCTTCAGCCCATGAGCCCCAGAGAGCACGCTTGCCGCAGATTTTGAGAGGGCCACCAACGGTGTCGGGGCGTTGTTCAACCTGGACGGCGTCCTTTGTGGCCAAGACCAAAACCTCAAAAAACA